AAAAAAATACTTAAGTGAAACAACAAAAAACAGTTTGGCCGTGAGGACCTTCCAGGCACCTGCAGAAGATTAGGGCTGATCCTCTCTGGGGGCTCTGAGGGGTCTGTGCACCCACATGCGCAGACCCATGTGACTCTGAGGTGCTGCCTGCTGGAGCTGTCCCTTTCACAGACCAAAAACCCTTTGAGTCCCAGGAGATTTGAAAGGGTCACCCAAGCCAAGGCTGGTTTGGCTCAGTGGATAGAGCGTCAGTCTGCGGATTGAAGGGTCCCAGGTTCGATTCCGGTCAAGGGCATGTACCTTGGTTGCGGGCACATCCCCGGTGGGAGGTGTGCAGGAGGCAGCTGATCGATGGTTCTCTCTCATCGATGTTTCTAACTGTCTCTCTCCCTTCCTCTCTGTAAAAAATCATTAGAGTATATATTTTTTTAAAAAGGCTCATTGTGCTGCATGGGGGGAGGGGAGGGTCAGCCGAGTGCTGCCTGGGTTGCAGCCATTTCTTGTGCCCAGAGAGCTTCTGGGCCCCCAAAGCCAGAGAGGGGGCTGGGAGCAGGCGGCCTGCACTGGAAGCTGCACTGCGGCTCAGAGAGCTCTGTAAAGGGCACCTCACGTCCCACTGGGCACTCGGGGGTGAACTAGCCCCTCCAGGCCCCCGGGAGCGGGGTCACTCTCTGAGGGAAGAGGGCATCCAGAGAAGGGCTGGGCCCGGGTCCCCCACCTTCTCCTCATCACCCCCTCCCTGTGCCCTCTGGTGTTAGGAGGGAGCCTGGAACCTCAACTTCCAAACCCGGTTCCCTCCAGCCACAGTTCTCTCCTAGTTCAGGGGGACCCCCCCACCAACCACTCCAGCCCCCGCCCCATCCCTGGTTCAGGGGCAGACTCCCCTCCCCCCCTGCCCTCTCCCTGCAAAGCCCCTTAAATTCAGAGGTAACCCCCACCCCAATTCGGGCTCTCCAGCTCCGCGCTCACCCCACCTCCCACTCCTGCCACCTGAGTGAGTTCCGCTTCCTTGACCCTGCACTCGAGCCCCACTTCCCGGGCCCTCGGCCACAGCTGCCTGTACCTCTGTGGCTCTGTGCTTCTGGGCAGTTTGCGGGGAGTGTGGGGGAGGAAGAGGGGAGAGATGGCTGAGGTTACCGGCTGCAGTTCTGGGATCGGCCTCCAGGGGGAGACACAGACCTAAGAATGTGCTCGAAAGGGCCGCACCCCTCCGATTCCCTCCCCTCCGCTCCCGGTATTGCTGAAAGCTCTGAGGCCTTCTTCATTTCAGACACATTAAAAGTGCCTCACCCTAACCGGTTTGGCTCAGTGGATAGAGCATCAGTCCCACCTTCGATTCCGGACAAGGGCATGTACCTTGGTTGCAGGCACATCCCCAGTAGGAGGTGTACAGGAGGCAGCTGATGGATGTTTCTCTCTCAGCGATGTTTCTAACTCTCTGTCCCTCTCCCTTCTTCTCTGTAAAAAATCAATAAAATATATATTAAAAAATAAATAAAGTGCCTCGTGTATGTCACAACCTGTGGGATACAGCTGTTATAAGTAAATTCCATATTTGTTTATAAAATAACAAAATATAACCGAATAAAGGGTTGGAATATGAGTACAAATGGTTTAAATTTTTTTTTAAAGTGGCCAGTAAAGGTCTCAATTTGCAGGAGGTGAGAGAGGAGCTACAAGTTATCTATGGGGAAAGCAGCCCAGGTAGCGGGCACAGCCTGTGCAAAGGTCCTGAGGCAGGACTGTGCCTGGTACACTTGAGGAACTGTGAGTAGGATAGTAGGGGGGAAGCCAAGAGGATGGGAAGATCGTACACTGTGACCATCCAGGACCCCAGTGGTGCAATAGAGGCCGAGAATTTTCAGAGGCATCTAGAAAAATTTGTTACTCAGACTGCCATGTTGTCTCCGAAATGTTCAAAGAAGAGTGCAAGCACCAAGTGTGATGAGCTTTTGCTTCAAGTCACAGGATATAAGCCATCTTCTCAGAGTGTCCCATGTCACATGGTCCCCAGAAGGCCGCAGAGTTTGTAAACGGAGTTCTAGATTTTTCTCCCTGTGTAAGAACTCCTGGGAGTGGCCCATGAGAGCAGTGAAAACTGCCGAGCTGAGACGGCAAACAGAATGAATTCCTTACGGCCAGACATGTTCACAAGCAAAAGGAGAAGGAGGCACTTTAAAAAGTGAGAGCAGCCCTGACCAGTTTGGCTCAATGGATAGAGCGTCGGCCTGCGAACTCAAGGGTCCCAGGTTCGATTCCAGTCAAGGGCATGTACCTTGGTTGTAGGCACATACCCAGAAGGGAGTGTGCAGGAGGCAGCTGATCAATGTTTCTCTCTCATCCATGTTTCTAACTCTCTATCCCTCTCCCTTCCTCTCTGTAAAAAAATCAATAAAATATATTTAAAATAAAAAAGTGAGGGCAGCGACCAGAGAGGGGAGTGAGTGCTGGGTTTAAAGATTCTGGGCCCTGAAGGTACCTCAGCCTGGGGAGGGGAGGGGTGGGCTCCAGGGCTAACTCCAGGCTCCTCCCTCCGCTCCAGGTGACGCTGGGGCCTGAGCTGCCCAGGAACCCGGGGGTGGGAGTGACCGTGTATCTGTTGGTGTCCTTTCTGCTCAGCGGGTCTGTGGTAACGGCCGTGAGGTGCTGTCACCAGGGTGGGCCTGTGTTCCAGGCGCCAGACGAGATGTCCATGGTGAGATGGGGGCCGGTTGGGGGGCCGCCATGCCAAGCAGAGCAAGGCCCTGGTGCCTGAACACTCCCTGTGTGTGTTTTTCTTCCAGGAACTAATGGGCCAAAGGTCATCCTCACCCATCGCCCACCAGCGCGACCCCTGTGGGGTGGGGACTTAGATGGGCCCGGTCCCCTGGGGAGGGACAAGGTTGGAATAAAGCCCCTACCATTCCTCTGAGGCCTCCTGAATTGTGGATTTCTGTCCTACTACGTGCTAGTCTCTACCCTCATGGGGCCCACAGCCCTGAAGGGCAGAGACAGGCTCAAATAACATTCCAGATGGTTCCGAGGGCGATGGAATCACATGTTGGCGCCGTGGCCAGATTCCGGTGGCCTGTGTGTCCAGTTTGCTGACTGGCAGGGGGGTTTCTCTGGAGAGGCAATAATTGAGCTGAGACTTCAACCTTGGGAAGGAACACCCTGGGGAGAGCCAGGCGGGTGTCACAGGAAGCAGGCACAGCCCGGAAGAAGGCCCTGGGGCAGGAAGGACGCGGGGTGTTTGGGGAAACAACAGAGAGGTGTGTGGTCCGTGGGAAGGAAGGTGGGTTTAACCTGGAGTTTCAGCCAGTAGGTGGTGGGGTTTGCTCAGCCTTCCTTCAGGGGCTTAAGGGGCAGATAAGCAGAGGGAGAAGGCACAGCAGGAGGCAGGGGCAACCCTATGCAGAGGCTTGCAGGCAGGAAAGCCCAGAAGCAGATGGAGAGCAGGGAGTCAAAGCGCCCCTCCCCCCATTGCTCAGTGCTGCTTTTCAGCTCTGAGCTGGACCCCACTTTCTCCCCTCCCACTGGACAGGAGGGAGCACCAAGTTTGGGGGAGCAGGCCTGGGGCGGGGGACCCTCGGCAGGTCAGTGGACCCTTCCTGCTGCCTACTCCTGTCCCCACCAGGCCCTCGGGGCTTCTCCCACGGGGACAGGGAAGCTTCGTGCCCCTTGGCCAAGGCTGGGCCTGGCGCTGCCCCTCGGGGCTGGGTTTAGCTGCTGTGAAATGCGTGGTCAGAGAGCCTGGCGTCAAGGTCACCCACACGGTGGGGAAAAGCCCGCGGAGGGACAGTCATGCTCTGGTGATTCCGGGGGCAGCAGGCGGCCGAGCTAGTGAAACATTAACCTGTGGCGGCCGGAGGCAGAAGCACCACAGGAACTCCTTTCCCTGCCGCCGGCCTCGTGAACTTTCCCGGCCGGTTCAGCGGCAGCTCCGGCCGCTGCGCGTGGAGGGGCTCCTGACCGGAGCGGCAGCGCGGCAGCGAGGTGAGCGACTTTCCGGGAGCCTCCGGGGACCCCTGAGGGCCGCCCCCAACCCTAGAGGGCTCTGTGGGGAAGCACAGTGTCCCAGACCTCAAGCCAGTAAAGCCTTCCCGGTCTTATGGCACTTCTCTCTGTCTCTCTGTCTGTCTGCATCTCTCTGTCTCTCTGTTCCTCTCTCTGTGTCTCTCCATCTCTCTCTCTGTCAATGTCTGTCTCTTTCCTCTTTCTCTCCCCCCCACACCCCTCTTCTCTCCATCCCTCTGTCTCTCTCTCTCTCTCTCTCTCCATTTTTCTCTCTGACTCCCTGTGTTTCCATCTCTCTCCCTCTCTCATAAGCAAACAAAGGAACAATCAAACTTAACACCCCCTTCCCTGTTCTCCCACAATAGCTCAGCCTCCTGGCCACTCTCTCTCCCATGCCCGTCTCTCTTGGTGATATCTCCCCGTCACTCTGCCCGCAGCCTCCTGGCTGGGCCCTGAGGGTGGAGTGTGGGTGTGTCTGGGCTGGGCCTGGCGCGGACAGTTAAGGGCTCTGCTGAGGGGACCCTGGGCCGCCCTCTTGGGCAGGTCCCATCCTCCCCTACCCGGCTCCACGGCAGGTCACAGGACTCGGCCGTGGCGGTGTGTGCCAGGCCTGCCTGGGCCTCACAGAGGCCGTGTGAGTCTGGAGTGCTCTCAGGCGGTGGACTGGGCTCTCCAAACCCTCCAGAGCTGGTCTGAGAACTGAGTGCTCCCTCATGGGACCTGGGGCCAGGGGACGATTCCCTGAGGGACCTGATGGTCCCGAGCTGCTGACCACAGCGGGGAGAAGGGAGGGGGCTTAGGAGTGTATGTGGGCACCCAGGCCCTGTGCCTGGATGGAGGCCCCTGCAGAGGTTCAGGTGGTGTCCTAGCTGCCTCAGTTGAGTATCTGTGAGTTCCAGGAGAGGGTGCAGGGTGTGGGAGTGAGCCCCATCTAGGGGGCAAGGCTGGACCCCTGGGGCCTGGGGTTTCACATCCGTCTCCCCAGGTTCAGAGACGCCTGCAGCATGAGGCGCAGCGGAACAGCACTTTCCTTCCTGCTCAGCGAGGTGAGTGGCAGGAGATGGCCTTATACAGGCCATGGGGGAGGGGCGCCCCAGCAGCCCCCCTACTCAGAAACACCCAGAGCTGCCTGGGGACCCACTTCCAAGTGGGGGAACCAAGGCCCAGAGAGGCCACTCAAAGTCTGAGACTCAATCCAGGTGTCGAGCCCGAGGTTTGCGGCCACTATCTTGGGGTACAAGGGACCGAGGGGGCGGGGGAGGCAGACTCTAGGTCTGGAACCAAAGTTTTTTATTGCCCGAGGAAAGGAGGCCACACCTTTGGGGCAGAGCCGATGGCCCCGCTCCAGGAGACTGGAGCAGGCTTACAGGCGCAGGGAGCAGGACTTGGGTAATGAGCTCCTTCAGCAGAAGCTGGGTTTGAATCCCAGGCTGGTCGCTGCCACCTGAGTGGCTGATAACCTCTCCAGGACTATTTTCTTTTTTCTTTTCTTTAATATATATTCTATTAATTTTTTTACAGAGAGGAACAGAGAGAGGGATAGAGAGTTAGAAACATCGACGAGAGAGAAACATCCATCAGCTGCCTCCTGCACATCCCCCACTGGGAATGTGTCCGCAACCAAGGTACATGCCCTTGACTGGAATCGAACCCGGGACCTTTCAGTCTACAGGCCGATGCTCTATCCACTGAGCCAAACCGGTTTCCGCACTATTTTCTTTTGTAAAGAAAAAAAATGGGGGAGAGGGGGCTAAAACCTTAAGAGGGATCAGGATGAGCCAGCAGGCAAGTACCCACACACTTTAGTACACTTATCCACCTCCATCTCTGAGCCACATCTCCCTCCTCTGTAAAGTGGGGGCCTCTTGGCACTCCCCCGAACATTCAGTTTACAGCATCAGTCACTTCCTTTGCACACGAGGCACCTAGAGCCTGGCCTAGTGCTACGCACGGGGGCAGAGACTCATAGACCGGGAGACGGATGTTAAACCGAGACCAAAAGTGAAGTAGGGGAGTATGAGTAGGGCTTCCCAGGCTGGGCTGGGAGGGCTTCTCCAAGGAGGTGACCACTGAGCTGAAGAATGGATGAAAATAAGCAGCCAGGCCCAGCCAGCATGGCTCAGTGGTTGAGCACTGACCTGTGGACCTGGAGGTCACGGTTCGACTCCCGGTCCGGCACATGCCTGGGTTGCAGGCTCTATTCCCAGGGTGGGGCCTGGAGGAGGCAGCTGATCAATGATTCTCATCATTGATGTTTCTCTCTCTCTCTCTCTCTCTCCCCCCCTCCCTTCCTCTTTGAAATTTAAAAAAAATCATAAAGCAAATCACATCCCTTGAAAGCCCTCAGTCCACTCTCATAATTCATTCCCAAATCCTCATCCCACCCCCAAGGTCGTGCATCAACTCTCCACTCCACTCCCTCCTTCTGCTGTTCCTCAGACCCACAGCTTAGCCCCACCTCGGGGCCTTTGCACCTGCTGTCCCTTCTGTCTCGTGTGCTATCTCCCAAGCTCACTCCTGGTCAGCTCCTTTTCCTCATTTCACCTTCTCTGAGGAGGTGAAAATTACCTCCTCAGAAAGGCCCTCTAACTATAATATGTCTGAGTGACATTTACCCCTCTGCCCCCATCACTCTCCAGGTCCTTATGTGGTTTCATTTTCTTTCTAGCACTATACTAACTACCTTATTTTTATTTATTTTTAAAAAATATATTTTATTAATTTTTAACAGAGAGGAAGAGAGAAGGATAGAGAGTCAGAAACATCGATGAGAGAGAAACATCGATCAGCTGCCCCCCTGCATACCCCCCACCGGGAACGTGCCCGCAACCAAAGCACACTAACCAAGGCAACCAAGGCCCCTAACCGAAATCGAACCTGGGACCTTTCAGTCCCAAGCCGACACTTTATCCACTGAGCCAAACCGGTTTGGGCTGAACTACCTTATTTATCTGTTGAATAAATAAATGAATATGAATGTGGGCAAGTTTCTGGCTCAGTTTCCCCAAGCAGGAAGTGGGCAGCTGATATCAGTGGGCTTCCTGTCCCGGGAGAGGCCTGCTTCCCACACACCCTCTACTCTCCCTGAACACCCTCCCTGCTCGCTGCTGGGAACCCTCTCTCCTGGGGGAGACCTCATGTTGACTACTTAGATTTCCGCAGCAGAATTCAGGTGCCTGTGGGGGGTGTCAGTTGTGCTCAGATTCGGGGATGGAGAGGAGATGTCAGGAGTCCTGGGTCCTAGAGGGATCAAATCTGTGCAAAGAGCTGGGGGAGAGGGTAGCTAAGCAGCCCAGCTGTGTAACCCACAGCAGGTCATTTCTCTGTGAACACTGACATCCTCTGTGGCACGGAGACAAGAGGAGAAGAGGAGCTGTGCCATTTCCCGGCACCTGGCAGAGGCTCCGAGGTGCCAACTGCTGTGCACTCCCTTCGGCTTCTTCCCTGCTCTCCTTGCCCCGGCTCTGGCCCTGGTCAGCCTTGTGGTCTTGGGCCTCACTTTCTAAATCTGAATGCTGAGTCTGATGGTGGACACAGACTCATTGGTGAGGCTCAGGGGCGGGGCAGAAAACAGCTGGGCCGCCCTGTGAGCTCCCTGTCCCCGGGTACTTCTGTGACCCGCAGCGCACACGCTCTGCTGCGGGTTCCAGTTTGGGTGCCACTCCCTGGGGTCAGCACCGTGGACAGCTCCCAGCCTGTGGCTGGTGCGAGCTGCCTCTATATTTTTCTTTTTTCTTTTTGTACAGCAAAGGTGGAAATTCATTAAAGAACAAGCACAGACTCCAAGTGGGGACGGAGAAGAGTCCCCTGTTCCTTTATATATATATATATATATATATATATATATATATATATATATATATATATATATATATATATACATATATATATATATATATATATATATAGAGAGAGAGAGAGAGAGAGAGAGAGAGAGAGAGAGAGACAAAAAGAACAGTGACGCCGAAACCGGTTTGGCTCAGTGGATAGAGCGTCGGCCTGCGTCCTGAGGGGGTCCCAGGTTCCTTTCCAGTCAAGGGCATGTACCTTGATTGCGCCACATCCCCAGTAGGGGGTGTGCAAGAGGCAGCTGATCGATGATTCTCATCGATGTTTCTAGCTCTCTATCCCTCTCTCTTCCTCTCTGTATTTTAAAAAAGAACAGTGATGCCAGAGGGCATGGGGACAACCGGGACCGTGGCCCTTGGCAGCGGCTGCAGCAGGAGCTGGGCCAGGAGGCCGGCGGGGTGGGGGCAGGATGCTGGCTGGGAGCTGAAGGGGGCCTGGGTGTGGCACCGCCCGTGGGGTTATGGCACGTGTGGAGCTGGTCACAGACGGGAGAGACCGAGGCAGGGCCAGGTGAGCAGGAGACAGGCACACGTGGGAGCCGCCAGCCCGGCCACCTAGATCAGAAGCCTCTCTGAGCCCGGGGGGAAGTCGGGGAGGAAGGCAGGGTCCGGGAAGCCTCTGTGGGAAGCTCCTCAGGGTCAGGGCCAGGGGGGCGAGGCCGGGCTCTGAGCGGGTGGCTGGCCCTCCCAGAGGGCCTCCTATTCTTCCTTTTTGAAATATATTTTATTGATTTTTTACAGAGAGGAAGGGGGAGGAGAGAGATAAGAGAGCTAGAAACATCGATGAGGGAGAAACATTGACCAGCTGTCTCCCGCACATCCCCCACTGGGGATGTGCCCGAAACCAAGGTACATGTCCTTGAGCGGAATCGAACCTGGGACCCTCCGCAGGTCGATGCTCTATCCACTGAGCCCCTATTCTTTTATCACCTACGACCCAGAGGAATTGGTACTGTTTTCTTACCACCGCCCCTTCTCCATGGGGAAACTGAGGCATGCTTGCCCTAGAGACCAGGCAGCATGAACTGAACCAACCCCAGATCTGCTGGGCTGAAGAACTTACATTCCCGACTCATTAACTGAACCTGATTCAGTTTGGTGTTTAAATGCCTCTAGTGTCTACTCAGAGCATGTTTGCAAACAGTTTTTTATTTAATTTCTCCCATCCAGTCCTTCCTTTAAGAAATGAACTGAGGCTCAGCGTCCAGAATCCCATCCCCACCATTTATTTAACCAACTGCAACCTCTGGCAAGTTACTAGAGCTCTGAGACTCAGTCTTCCTTTTTGTAATATGAAGATAATGGTACAACATGGCCTCCCCGTGCTTCATGGGCTGACCCACCAATGCTTCTTAGAACAGCCCCTCTGTGGAATGAGTCTGCAAGATAGACTGGCCATGGGTACTGCCATTATGATTCACTTGTTTACTTACTGCATGTTTCATTTTTATATTTTAATAAGTAATATAATTTATGAAATACCATTAAAGTGCCTATTATTATGACAAATAGCAGTATAAGTTACATGATGTTATAAATAATGAATATACTGCATATTAATTGGTGAATAAATAAAGATTGCTGTAATACCTACTCTAAGCCAAGCACTATTCACATCTGGCAAGGTTGAGGTCTATCTCCCCATTTCATAGATGAAGAAACTGAGGTTCAGAGAAGTAAGTTCACTCGGGGGGGGGGCAGTAAAACTGAGATCCAGCTTTCTGGGCCAGTCCAGGCATCTGGGTGAAGGAATCTCAGAGCTGCACGGTCCCAGGGAGCCAGGAAGGTCCCGTGCCTGGGAAGTCACTCATGTCTTGCCACTGTGTCTCTCCCTAGCGGGTCCGAGAGTCTGCGGATTCCAGCTCAGCCCCTGCGAGTCCCCGTGGCAGTGGTGTCATCTGGAGACGCTTCTCAGGGACCCCGTTGCTGCCACCGCTGTCGAGCCGCCTCAGGCCCCCGGGAGAAGCCGAGCCCAGCTCCTGTGTGGTGTTCACCATCGGGGCTCGAGGGACAGAGCAAGGCCACGGTCCAGCTTCAGGCAGGTGAGGAGGCAGAGGGGGATCCAGGGCGGCAATCCCAGGAGAGAGAGGAAAATGGCTCATCTAGGTGGACATTTCTTTAACTTGTTCATAAAGCACTTATTGAGCACCTATTGTGTGCCAGGCCCTGTACTAGGGGCACAGCTGTGGGCACGTAGGTGCTCATAGGCTGACGGTGGAGACAGAGTCATACCAACCAGAGAGATGAAGGTGCCATGGAGCCCAGGGGGCTTCTGGCCCAGCACTGGGGAGCAGAGGGTGAGAAAGGACTTCTTGGAAGAAGTGGCATCTAAGGATGAAGAGGTGGCTTAAAGGATGAAGAGAATCAGCCAGGAAGAGCACAAGGAAGGAACAGATTGTGTAAAGCCTCAAATTCAAGAGGACCAGGTGTGGTGTATGAGGAGTTGAATACAGATCAACATGGCTGGAGGGTGGGAGGAGAGTCTGGGGAGGTGGGAATGGTGTAGTGGGGAGACATGGGTGTGTTTTCAAGAGAGTGAATGGTTACGATTGGCATTTTAAAAAATTCCTCTGGCTTCCGGTGGCAGGGGGGTTATGTCAGGGGCAGGGTGGTAGCAGCAGGAGCCCAGGGAGAAGGCAGTTCTAGGCAGGAGATGGTAGTGTCTGAACCAGGCTGGGAGCCATGGGCTGGAGAGAAGTAGGCAGATTCGGAAATTATGAAGTAGACACACCAGGCATTGGTGGACACCCGCAGAGGGTAAGTGAGAGCAGGGGTTGGTATGGGCAACTCCTCGTCTTTGACCCTTCACAAATGACATTCATTTACATCTCCCCAGCACCTGTCTCTAATCCCCACACCAAGAGGTGGGGACACCATCATTACCCCCACTTTCCAGAACAGAAAACAAGCTTGGGGAGGGGAAATGATAACTGACCAGCAGGAGAACACATGTCCCCCACCAGTGGGTCAAGTTGTCCCTCACTGTCAGTTTTGGAGGACAGGGGATTGAGAGGACGGCCAAGAACTGAGCCATAAAAGTAAAGGACAGGCCTAGCCAGTATGGCTCAGTGGCTCATTGTTGACCCATGACCCATCAATCAGGGTTCGATTTCCAGTCAGAGCACAAGTTGTGGGCTTGATCCCTAGTAGGGGCCATGCAAGAGGCAGCCAATTAATGATTCTCTGTCATCAGTGATGTTTTTATCTCTCCCTTTCTCCCCCTTCTCTCTCTGAAATCAATAAAAACACATTTAACTTTTTTTTAAAGTGAAGGGCAGAGAGGAGTCACTTGTTTTTCATCACTCAGCAAGACATGGCAATACTCAGTCTGTCTGGCTCCATGGCCCAGATATTTTCCATTTCTCCAACTAGTGATACGAGCGAGAGTAGAGGGTAGAGTGTCCCTGGTAAATATCCATAAAATATCCTTTATGCCCTCTGAAAAAATCAGGACTCTTTCTGTTCACAAATTTTCTGCACCAAGGCCTTCCTACCACAGCCTAGTGCCTGCACTTCTCAGCCTTACTCTTGTCCACATCCACTTCTTTTAAAAATTGTATTTATTTCTTTTATTTTTAAAAATATATATATATATTTTATTGATTTTGTACAGAGAGGAAGAGAAAGGGATAGAGAGTTAGAAGCATCGATGAGAGAGAAACATCGATCAGCTGCCTCTTGCACACCCCCTACTGGGGATATGCCCGCAACCAAGGTACATGCCCTTGACCAGAATCGAACCCGGGACCCTTCAGTCCCCATGCCGACGCTCTATCCATTGAGCCAAACCGGTTTTGGCTAAAAATTGTATTTATTGATGAGAATGAGAGGGGGGGGGTGTTGTTCCACTTATTTATGCATCCATTGGTTGATTCCTGTATGTGCCCTGTCCAGGAACCCCCAACCTTGGTGTATCAGGACAATGCTCTAATCAACGGAGCTACTTGGCCAGGGTGTCCACATCTACTTCTGTGAATCATGGTAGAAAGTGTTCTCATCCTTCCTTTTCCATTTCCCGGGAAATTTCTCATGAGATTAGAATGCCTGGCAGGAAGGGCCTAGAGTTTCTGGAACTAGGGAAGGGAGGGAAGAGGCATGCCTGTGAGGGGGCCATGGTGTGTCACAGAACAAATGAAATTCTGCCATTTCCGCCAGGCACTGGTGTGGCTATAAAAGGGTACCCTTCTTTGCCCACTCCCACTGTTGGCGGCCCTGACCAGAGGCGGCTTCTGTGTGCCCACGCCAGGCATGCACGTTTTTCTGTTCTTCCCAGATCCCTACCCTGTGTGAGTGAGGAATTTTAGGACTCCAAAGAGACCCCATCTGAGTATGAATGTCTAAGCTTACCTTCCTGAGCTCGGTGGATAGGTGGCTATTTGTTACCACCTCTGAAGACCAGAGCCTTTGACTCTGCTTCCAGACTCCTTTGCTACTGTCACTGGGGAGGGTTGAGGACCCGCCGTTGTTCAGCTTTCAGCACCTCCCGTGCGGACGGCGCCCTAGTCTGCAGGTGTTCAGGAACCCCGGTCTCCCTGCCTTGACTTCAGCACCAACAGGTCGAGGACAGCAACTCGCTGTCTCACCCACCCTCCGTCTACCCTTCTTCCCTTCCGAAGCCAAAAGAAGGGACAGCGCCTGGACCCTGGGGGTCTCCCAAGGCCCTGCCTCTCTGCTCTCTAATCGGGAAGACAATTTCTGTCTTCTCCGCCCCAAGTCCAAGTCCACGACAGGAAAACGACAGACCATTCTCGGCGCTGGGCAGCGGGGAAGAGAGGGAAAGGGTCTCCCCAGCACCTGTCTCTAATCCCCACGCCCAAGTTTTCCACCTCCCGACGCCCCACCCCGCTGTCCTTCAGCACCATTGGACGCGGACAGCTCCTCGGCGTCCGCCCCACCTTGAGCCCCTGTTTACACCGCTGGCGCCCACAGCTCCTGTCTCCACCCTCGCCCTCCCTGGCAGACCGGGGCGCAGACACAGACATTCCTCCTCCCGGGAAGGCTCCCTCCCCTCCTCTCCCTGCTGCCCTCCGCTGGCGCATGGAGACCCCGGGGGTACCAGAGGGGGTGTGGGCACCCGGCCAGCTGACCCGCGTTCTCAGCGGCCAAAGCTCAGCCAGACCCCCGAAGCACCTGTGGCGGCAGCCGCGGTGCCCCATCCGTATCCAGCAGCGATTCTACTCCTCGGACCCGGACAAGTCCGCGGGCCGCAGCCAGCAGAACCGGGGTCCGCGGCGGCGGGGGCTCCAGAAGTCGAGGTGCTCCTGGCCCACTTCCTTCCATAGGTGGTAGGTGGGCGTGGGGGAGGGGAGCCCGGACCCGTGGGAGTTGGGAAGGGTCCTTGCTTCTCCAGGGGTCTCTACTGTTCAGCTGAGGCCGGTGCTTTAGAGGAAAACACTGTTTTTACACGGGGTGACACATGATTGTTTATGGGGGCGGGGGGGGGTGCCTGGGAGTGCCAGGTGTGGCTGCATCTAAGTGTGTGTGAATCTGGGCAATTGTGACCCTGTGTGTGCTCCGTCCTACTGCGTGAGTGTTTGCAGCCAGCTAGCTGCCTCTCGGTGGGTGACCAGAGGTGCTCGGTCGTACGTGCACCAGCCCATGTGCTTTGCCCTTGTGGTCCTTGTGGGTATGTGGACCAGTGAGACTGTCTTTGCTGTAACACAATTGAAGTCCTTTTTTAGACCCTGGAGTGTCCGGGGATGTTTGTGGGGTTGGAGCCACACCAAGCATCTGAGAGGAACAGGTCAGGCTGTCCCCAGCCCTGGGGGAGGGAGCTTGCTCAGTGGCCCGCCTTGCCACCAGCCCTCTCCCCTGCCGCTGGCCCCTGTCGCCAGAAGGAGGGGGAAGCCTCTTGGGAGCCTGAGCACAGGATGTTCCTTCCCTTAAGAAAGGATGAGGTAGAGAAGGGGGTGTTGAAGGGGGAAGGGCTGCTCCTCCTGTTTCCTATAAAAGGTGAGCGGGACGATAAGAGAGAGATGGAGAGGAACAGAGGTGGGAGTCTCAGCTGCTGGGCCAGGGCTGGAGGGCCCAGGAGTCCCAGACCCTTCTTGGGTGGGAGGGGGCCAGGTCTAGAGTCCTGGGCTTGGTCAGGCTGGTCACCTCAGGGGAGTCAATTTCATCTCTAGATTGTCGTTCTCCCACCTCGGTCCATGGACCTCCTAGGGCAGTGGTCAGCAAATCGTAGCTAGCGAGCCACATACGGCTCTTCCACAAAACACCACAGCCTGGGGGAGTCTATTTTGAAGAAGTGGCGTCAGAAAAAGTTTACGTTTAAAAAAATTTGGCTCTCAGAAGAAATGTCAATCGTTGCACTGTTGACATTTGGTTCTGTTGACTAATGAGTTTGCTGACCACTGTCCTAAGGTTACTGGCTTCCTGGTCTACAAGCCGAGCCTAACTCCCCAGCCCCGAGGCAACTGGGATTGGAGCTCTTCCCAGGTGACGCAGCAGGTCCACGGCCCCCGTTTCCACTTCCCAGCCCTCAGCTCCTCCTGCCTCCCCCCTCCCAGTGACTCATAATTTTCCATCTTCAAGAAAGAACAAACAGAGACTGGATTTGGACCCGTCCAGGGGGAGAGCCCACGTGGCTCTGAAAGGTTCGGGGCGGGTGTGTCCCTGTGAATGGGAACTTGAGAATCCTGCCCATACGTGTATGTGCTGAAGTGGGGGAAGGGTCTCAGCCCTCAGGTTTAGGCCCACTGGGTTCAAGGCCAGTCTGCTAGGTGCTCCCTAGCAAGCAGAGAATACTAACGAAATGCAAACACACAGCTGTACTTCCTGTATTCCTGGAGAACTTGCCGTGTGGGAGCCTGGTCCCCCACTGTGGCTCTTTCCCCCACTGTCCCGGGTGGGACACTTGGGTCTGGAAGGATCCCAGCATTTCATTCAGCAAACGTTTATTAGCTATCTACTGTGTGCGAGGTCCGGTACTGGAGACACATCCATGAGCAAGCGGGGGCTCACAGGCTGATGGTGGAGACAGACTCATACCAGCTGGAGAGAGAAGGCCTCTGACCCAGCTTCGGGTGTGTGTGTGTGTGTG